CATGCCTCCCACCCCCACCCACCCTCCATGGCTGCAGGAAGGTCTGTGGGAGAATCTACCAACCTGATGGCTTTGCTGCCTCCACTGGAGCTCTGAAACAGGGAGCACAGCCCTGTCCTCAGCACCCGCAGCCCCCCCCATATTCACCTTTCATCTTCCTTATGGGCCGCAAGGCTGGGCACGCTCCATGGGAGACCAGGCTGCCTTCCCTCATGGGCCCATGTTCTGTGTTCTTTCATTTCTTCATCATTAATTCCAGCGGGGAGAGGGGAGGCGAATCAAACTTTCAGACTGGGAGGATGTCAGTGGAAGCAAAAGGGAAAGCAGGGAGAAGGACCCACCACGGAGCCCTAGGCCAGCACTGAGCTTCCTGGAAGCACGTGCAAAAGGGGAATCAACTTCCCAGTAAAGGAAGCTTCTCCTCTCAACCCCAAGTATCGGATCTGTTTGTTTTCTCCAGCACTGTTCTGTGAACCAGGTGTCTGAGGCAGTGTGACAAGCAGTGTCTTTCTTGGCTATGGAGTGGCCAACTGGCCATGCTCCCTCTGACTGGTCAGACATTTGAGAAGCACCTTCTCTGAAGTTAGCTAGGGAAGAGGGCTAGAATAGCTTCCAGTGAGGAGTGTCTGCTGCTGCCAGGCAGGCCCCAGGAGGACTTCCAGGAGGAGTTGACATCAGGGCTGGGCTGAACGGGAGCTGGACAGAAAGCCCCTCCTGCCCTGTCTTAGTCTCCTGTGATCCTTCCTGAGAAGTGACCCCAAGACTTGGGGCATCAGCTAGCTCGGGCTCAGCCTGTTGGGTGTGTACTGGCCCTTCTGATTCCTTCTCATCAGCATGATGGCTGTGGTGCCTTCTGGATTGAGTGCACCTGGTGTGCGTGTAGTGAGTGACTGCAGCTACGGCATGGGGCCTATACAGACGGGGCTGAGTGTGCCCAGGGAGCAGAGACCCTGCTCGAGAAGTAGAGGGTAGGCTAGGCGCCCCAGAGAGGGGCCTGGGGCCTGGTGGGGGTTAGATTTTGCTTCTGCCTGCAGCTGGGCATATTCGGGAGAGACACACAGACCCAGGCATAGTGCTAGGAACTCCCTCTTTCCTGGGGGGAGGGGAAATGGGGAGCCCCCAGGGCCTGTGGAGGGTGGGTGGCCTTGGGCAGGGATAGATATTTCCTTCCTCAAGAGGGGCATGCAGGACCCAAGAGACAGGTGGCTGTGGGGAACTTGCCTCCCAGAACCAGGCAGCCTTTGGGGCCGAGGATGAGAGCTAGGTAAAGGCTATGGGCCACAGGCCCAGCTGATACCATGAGAGGAGGTGCAGGGCCTAAGTGCCCTGGGAGCCCGGCTGGCCTCACAGCTACCCGGAAGCCACTGGTTCGGAATCCTGGTTCAGTCTCCCCGATCCTGATTCAGGGCCTGTGGGGCTAGGGCCGTGGGCACTGGGAGGCTGAGGGCACTGACTGGCCTCTCTCCCACAAGAACAGGCTATTCTTTCACAGTAAGGAGCTGTGTTCCTGCACTTTGGGGCATTGAGGCCACCCCTCACCTGCCCTTCTCAGCTGCTGGGGAAGGCAGTGTAGGTGACAGCCATGTGTCCCCTTGAGGGTGGGCAGAAAGAGAGAGGTGCCCCATGTGGTGGCCTTATTGGAAGACACAGGAAACTAGCGGCTACAGCGCCAAGCATTAGTGGGGACTGGAGGTTAGCCCACGGGTAGGGACCCAGCAGAACTTGGCCGGGGTCTCCCAGGAGAAGATGACTGGGCCCCTCTCCTGCTGGGGACTGTCCTGTGCCTCCCTGACCCCCCCACCTGTCCCTGCTGTCTCTCCCGTGGCCCCCGCAGTGCTGAACAAGGACATTGCAGCCTGCCGCACGGCTACCATCACAGGCACGCTGAAGCGGCCATCGCTGCCCGAGGAGGAGAAACTGAAGCTGGCCCACGCCAAGGGGCCGCCCGCCAACTTCAACAGCCTGCCAGCCAACGTGTCTAAGCTGCACCTGCACGGCTCACCCCGCTACCCCGGCGGGCCCCTGCCCGACTTCCCCAACCACTCGCTGACCCTCAAGAAGGACAAGGCACCCAAGTCCTCTTTCGTCGGTGATGGGGACATCTTTAAGAAGCTGGACTCGGAGCTGAGCAGGGCCCAGGAGAAGGCTCTGGACACAAGCTATGTGATCCTGCCCACGGCCACGGCCACACTGCGGCCCAAGCCCAAGGAGGAGCCCAAGTACAGCATCAACATCGACCAGATGCCCCAGACCCGCCTCATCCACCTCAGCATGGCGCCTGACGCCGGCTTTCCCACCCGCAGTCCACCCTCCCGTGAACCCCCCAGCAGTGGGCCCCCGGAGGCACCCCCTGCCC